CTTAGAAGGAAATTTTTCCTTTCCTATTATGTTTTCTAGTACATCTAAACAGTTTCTTATGTTTGCTTGTAATTTGCAATGTTGTTTATTTTTATTATTTGTTTTCATATTACATGTACATGTACAGTATATATGCATTTACATTGTATAATGTTTATATTTATTTATTATGTAGTTTGAGGACTCTTTGTCGAGCACTGTCTTATGCTTTCAAAAATACTTTTAAAAATATCCGTCGCTCAATTTATGAGGTATAATGATTAATAATATATATTCAAATTACATCCATAATAATTACATTTTGCGTTACATTATGATTTACTGTAATTCTATTTAAATAGGGTTTGCTATTAAGTTTTTATTCCCAGCTAAGAGTGGAGGATTATCAAATTGTTGCTTCTGAAGCTAAGAAATATCTCAAACCCTCACTCTCCTCCGCCCAGCCACGCCCTTTAGGGGCGAAGTCAGTACCAGTGGAAGGTTTTTGGGTACCAACAGGATCAGAAGTTCCAATAGTACCGGCAGATTACATCATTACTGCTAGCATACGTAATAACCTCAAGAATCTAGCCAGAATAGTATCTGGGAGGTAATTAATATATTTACTATATAGGCTGGTTTACAATATTACGCTAGTCCTGACGTTACGTTGATGCTGGAATAGAATCTGGTTCTATTCCAGCAGAAAGCATGCATCAAAAGGTCATCGCCCACGCTTTTGATTAAAAATTGATGGTACGCTGGCCTAGCGTCATATTGTAAACTAGCCTTAAGACACACAATATTTTAGGGGCATGATCTCAACAAAATTATTGTTTAATGGGTTCAATTTATTTTCATTGTTTATGAAATATTTTTATTACTTTACATGTATTTAGTCTCATCATGTTGTCCTAATTTTTGAATTAATCTGAAGCATTCATTTACATGTACATGTATCTTCATGTATCTTCAAAATTTTATTGCATTCTGTTGCATGCCTCAATAAAGCCAGATTTATAATATTACGCTAGTCCTGACGTTGCGTTGACGCTGGAATAGAATCTGGTTCAATTCCAGCGTGAAGCATGCGTCAAAAGGTCAAATCGCCTACGCTTTTGATTAAAAATTGATGGTATGTTGCCTAGCGTCA